CCCAATTCTGAAAGCTCACTCTAGCATGTGGTCTCTTTTCAGCGGTTGTGTTGTGCCAGAAGTAGCTATTCTCCCCTGACCGCCTCTCTCCCTTTCAAAGCCTTGTAATCAGTGTGCTGCTCTTTGTACCGGGATGTCGCTAGACACCCAGGCAAGAACGCAGCGCAGCTCAACTTCTGATGAACGGCTGCGGCTCAGAGTTCGACTAATCAGGTCTTGCTCATGTCGCCTTCCTGTCATGCGAGGCCTTTTTGAAGCAAATAACGTCTTTGCAGTTTGGCACATTCTTCTTGGAAGTTACAAAGCATCTGTTGGATCAATACACAAAGTTAGTAAAAAAAAAAGAAGGGAACTGTACGACCAATAGGAGCCTGATGGAAACAGTTAGAAGAAAACATGGACTGCCAGGAGCCTGTTCATACTTGAGGCTATTACTGAATGTTTCCATGCTGCCGACCCAACGACTTGATGCAAATGAATTCAAACACTTCAAACAAACATGTTGTGGTTAGCAGTGGAAAGGCGGAAACATGTATCAGTAGGTTTTAAACGTGTGTTTTCAGACTGGGGACAAAGTGATGGTTTCATTTTAGGAATTTGTCTAAACTACTTACAGTATAAACAGTCCTCTCCTCAGCTTTGTTGTTGGCCCTTATTGTTTTTCACTGAATATTAGTATTTCATTTGTATTTCCTCATAAATCTGAAATGTGTTTTTATTGAAGCTGAGTGCATTTTGCAATATCTACAGGGAAGGAGAAAGGGGGGAAATCTACATAATATAAATCCATACATGCCCCAGTTATCTCTCTCTCCCTTTCTCCGTTTGCACCCTCTCTGATTGATTCCTTTATCTGAGGGAAGCAGAAGACATGCTCTGTTTGCTCGCACAGTGGCCGGCAGGAAAACAGAGAAAGACACTTATTAAAAAGGTCATCTCACAGAGGGTTAAAATAGCAGGGCAGGGATCTCTCAGGGGGGAGCAGCCATGCCCCTCCTCTAGTGAAGGACACAAGAAAAGGTGTTGCTCAAGGGAGCTGGACCCGTAATGAAAGAATGGCCACCAGGCTGACAGCCCATGTGTGCACTGAGCTATTCAAATATCTTCAGAGGCAGAGTTGGAGAATTGACAGTAAAAGGCTTTGTGAAAATGCAATATTTTTCTATTAGATTCAGAGTGAGAGGTGTTATTTTTATTTACAGTGCAGGCTGGCTAGTAAACAGGAGTGGAAATGAGTTCAGGGGTGAGGCATTTCTTCCAAGAGTGGGGTCCAAAGGCACGTTTCCTTGCCTGCTCGCCACTGCAATCTCATCAAGCTTATGAGAACGCCTCGTGCCAAGTGAGAACAACCGTCAAACTACAGGCACTGTGTCCTGTCGGTGATGAAGTATCAGTAACAATGAAAGAGTATACAGACAGTACAGTGAGACGGTGAGACAAAGCACTGGTGAAGTGTTTTTGGAAAAGCCTATGGAATAGCAATGCCTGCAGCCTCCTGTCTCCTCCCTAGGGCAGCCTAAAGCCCTGTCGGCAGGATGCTGATCCCCACACGGAAACCTGATCCACAGCCATCCTGGAGCCAGAGGGGGGACGGGGAGCGCTCGCTTTCTGTCTCGCTCTCTCTCTTTTTTTTTCTCTGGCTCCCTCTCTTTCTCTCCCTGTTCCCCTGTGGAGCCCCTCCACTACTGCCCCAGCATTAAAGGGGTGCTCTGGGGGAACATTCCTCTAGCCCTGCCCCAGCCAGCCTCCTCTCTCAACTCTCTAGAGAAGCATTCTTCCAGCCCTGCCCTAGCCTTCACTGGGATCTCCTGGGGAGCATTCCTGAAGCC